TAATAAAATTGGCCATGATATGGTAATAAAATTGACCATGATATGGTGATAAAATTGACCATGATATGGTGATAAAATTGACCATGATATGGTGGGGAAATTGACCATTATATGGTGGGGAAATTGACCATTATATGGTGGGGAAATTGACCATTATATGGTGGGGAAATTGACCATTATATGGTGGGGAAATTGACCATTATATGGTGGGGAAATTGACCATCGTATGGTGATAATATAGCAATAATATTTCTTCATCATAAATTTCCAAGTAAGCTTTTAACAAAAGATATTTATTCTGACATTCTCATACAGTACAGTACTTCAAAATATAGAGTGATTTATTAAATTATCTTTGTAACGAGTTTTAATAATAAACTACATAATTTTACTTCTAAGAAATGTGTATAGATTCAAAACAGACATCGTGGCAAATATGCATGAGTACTAGTATAAAACTAGTATGATAAGGAGTGATGTTTATGAACTTTTGATTCAAAATGTGTATCTAATCCATAACCCAGTGAATGGCATAGTGTGCTCCCCCTTCATCAAGCCATATTTTAGTTTATTGGTCTATAAGGAAAATGCTCTAATTTGTTGACCAGACCACACACTAGAAAGTGAAGGGACGAAGACGTTTCTCCCAAGGCATCTTCTCTCCCTGCTTTTTTTGTTGAACTGAGCTTTAATTACTGGTCACTTATGTCTGGCAAAGCTTTAAACCAAGATATTTGGTTTAAATCTGCTCTAATTTGACATTTACTTTGGAACATGGGCTAAATTTGGAAAAAAAAGACAGATATTGAGATTGGAAATCCAGATCATATTTTAATCTAAAGATCATAAATTTTCCCGGGTCATCTATTGTATACTTCTGCATCACTCTTAACATCCCTGCAGTAGCACAACTTTTGCACACCTATGTAGAGTACTGTATTGCTACATGCACGCAACACACACACCACAAGCGTAGCTCTCATCTTGTAGTTACAGGATGAGAGCTACACTTGGATAATTACATGTGTGCATTACAGGAAACTTAAGTGAGAGGCCAGAGATGATGATGAGAAATAAAAAAAAAAACAGATGCACCTGAGTACATATTTACTGCTAGGTGAAGAGAGGCATCAGATGTAAGAAATAAGCCAAAGCATTTAACTGATTGTGCTCACCACTGTGCTTCAGCACTTCATTAAATGCTTCCAGAAAGGTATTTAAAAAAGGAAGCTGGATGAGCATCAAACTTAACTACTAAGACTAATATTCTATTTCCAAATAATTTGTTACATAATGTTTGTGTGTGTTTATTATACATACTGTCAAGGAAAATGTTAGAATTTATCCATGTGATCAAATGAAACTTTTCTACTACCCCCGCCCATTTAATTTTTAATAATGTACTAAATTTAGTATGTACTCTACTGTACAATAGGACTGTAGATTGCAACTTTCATACAAATAACTTCATGTGTACACGCACAGACACACACACATACTGTACATAGTCTCATTACCTCAAGAAAAGGAATAGAGGTGAGTCGTATTACTAACATTTGCACGTTTAGTCAGTAGACAATGTTTGATGTTGGTTTTATATTTATTTACCCATTACTGTAAATTGGTTTTAGTTATTTATTTTTGACATCTGAAATGAAGGCTTAGAAAATTATAGAATACCTGTAATTTTTGTATTTCTTATATCCATGACCAGAAACCAGCACGCTAAAATGAGAGTAGACTATAGATAATGATTGGCGTGATCTTTTCATCCAACTATATATTTACTGCATATCACTTTTACTTCTTCCACCAATGGTGTAGATGATAAAAATCAGATGTACACCAAACTTGAGTACATTATCTATAAAACATTCTGTTACCAAGTTATTAGAACACACATGCAGTATTGCATAATGTCAAAACTAAGGTTAGTTAATGTATTAATATATTTATGGATTATTCTTATGAAAACAATAAAAGTTTTACATCAAAGAATCAAATTATACAGTATTCACAAATGTGATCATAAAAAAGATGGAAGCATTTAACCCATTCATTGTCATACAATTTGAGTAAGGTTGCTGGGTCATCAGCCACTTCCAACAAAAATAAAAAACAAATAAAACTATAGCTTATATTGCTGGAGAAAACTGAACCCCAAAAATATCAGGAAAACACTGAATACACCATAATACTGAAATATAAGTTTTTAATAAAAATGTAAACTTTTATTTTATATAAGTGTGTGCATGCTTTTTCGAATATTGTATGAAAAAGATGAACCTGGCATCAAAGACATTATATAGTAGTGATATTATTTTTTATTTTCAGGCAGATATAAGGTATCTACAGTATAGAATTATACAATGGTAGAGGCTTAGAAAGGTGCTTTAAGGTAAAAAAAAATACGTGGCTGATGGCCAGTGCCACAGAAACTTATGAGCTGGTAATCGGAAACCAAATTCAAATACTGTATATCAAAATTAATTGAAAATAACACCATAATATAATAACATACCATTGTACCTTCCATATTAATATTAGATAACCTACTAGCTTTCAGGAGTTCCCGAGAAACAAACCACTCGGCTTGTGGGTTACCTTGTGTTGATTCTGGGGGTGGTCAATGCTAAGTCTTGGCCATATGAGAAGTCATCTAATCCAAGTTTCACTAAACAAATTAAACTACTGTACTACCAAAGCATATTGATACAACCTGCCGTTTTATATACAGTACTAATATCAGATCGTAACATTTAGTAGTTCCCATGATACAAGCCGATGCTGGTTGTTGGCCGGAAGCTATACCAGTGGTTACCAAGTACAATATTGTAGTTTATAATAGAATGTTGTGCATTACTGTTAAAAGGAAGATGGGTATACTGTACTATCAAAATTAATGTAAATGCTTATACAAATTCTTTTATAAACATACTGTATTTCTGCAGCACATGGTAACCCAAGCAGATGGTGCTTGTGAGCACGTACAAAGGTCCACAGGAGTAAAGTATGGCTTACTTTAAATGACAGTCATTATTAGAAATTAGAGGGAATCGAGTTCTGCTTATGAATACAGTACCTATAATCACAGGGATTTGATATCTTTCTGGCTGTTTATTACTTATTATATATATCATAGTTTTCTTCATAATAAGTCAATTAGAAGAATTCTGGAACATGGCATCCTTATGTCAAAGAATATTTACCGATATATAAAATATCACGTTTCTGACCATTTTGGTATTTTTCTTCAATCACACATTTATTTTACATTCCTCATAATCTCTCAAGAAAAATAAAATAAGGTGTAACTCTTGATAGAAATTTCAGATACTGATGTCAATATCAGAATTTAATCAATAAAAGATTAAGCATATCCAATGAAGCATTGTACATTATATGGCATTTTATAAAACAAAAATAGCACAATCTTATTTCATGTGCAACGAAGAAGAAAAATAAATACAGTAAATATCAGCACAAATGTGTTTCCAACCAACTTAATTTATGCAGTGCAAAGGTTAATCTACTCAAGGTATTTTGAATTTTAGTGGATTCACCCAACCATGCATCCATCCACCCAGCTATCTGCTTATCCATCTATCTAACTAGTTATCTGATTATTCATCCATCTATCCAGCCATCTACTTATCCATCCATCCAACCAACCAACAACACAACCCTCCACCAATTCCTGCCTTCACTCCATTCACACCCCATCAACCCCTCCCCACAAATTAATCCTTTCCGCCCATGTTCGTGTCAGCTTGCAACCTGATACAGACCTATAACACTGGATTATAATCATATTAACTTCAGGAGATGACTCCTACTGCAGGTGATCATACACAGGCTTGTAGACTGCTAAACATGAGTACTAAAACACATTTAAAGATAAAAGAAAATCTGTAGGAGCCGTGAGGAGGATTCGAACCTGCACACTTGGTACTCCTAAGCCCACGCCCTAGACCACTACACCACGACATTTTCAAAAGCACTGCAAACTGGGATGCAAATGAATCCCAGGTTGCATTGCTTTTGATAACCCACTGATACATCACGGTAATGTGATTTCACTGTGCACATTTAAAGATATCTTACCTAAGTTTTTATGGTTGCCCATGGTCATCAGTATCATAAAAACAAAGTTTTCATTTTATTTTGTGCCTTATTTAATAAAAAAATATTCTGAACATGTGCAAGGATGTGTTCAATCAGCAGAGAATAAGTCACAAAAACATGGCAGAAAATAACCCAATCCACATGTGTAGAATGAAATGAAAGTGACAATAGTTTAGTCCATCCTGGACCTTTCTCAAGGCGAAGTTGGATCATTTGTTCAATTATTTGCACAAGGAATCATGCAAAATTATTGTTTACACAGCAACAAGAAAAGAGTGGAACAAAAATCCCTCAAAAAATTAGATTTTACATTAAAGAAATCTGAACAGCCTTAAAATGATGTACAGTAGCTGAATTTTAGGAGATGCACTGCATGCGTGAATGTATGACTGGACATGTATGTGTATACAGTAATCATATGTAATTATATATATTATACAGTATATATTATATATATACACACACGAGTGTAATTACACTTAGGTAATTACACACACACACACACGAGTGCAATTACACTTAGGTAATTACACACACACACACACACACACACACACACAGTAGATTTTGCATTACTTTAGACATTTAACATGTATGCTACTATTATTGTCATCACTGTTGTTTTCCTTCTTAGTACTGTACTGTATTTGCATGGTATATTTTTACATGTAAATGTATTTGAAATATATAATCTTATTTTTGCATGATGTGTGTAGATTCACATTAATATTTTATGGTGATGTTAATTATTTATATGAAAATTATGGTGTAAAAATAAAATGTTTATACAGGATATGAGTATACATGATGAGCAAAATACAATAGGGTATGGCATGTATTCTATGGCTCACTAACCTATGATTCATACTCTGCAGGGTGACTGGAGTGTGTCACTTCCCCCTGGGACACTAGTCAAGGTGCTGGCAGATTTCACCGCAGTCAGAGAGGACGAAATATCCGTAACCAGAGGGGAAGTTATACAAGTAAGCCAATACATAACTTTATACCTTAGGGATAAATAAATAAATGCATTGACTTGTCAATACTGGACTATCAACTGAAGTACAGTATAGTACACCCTCAAAAATCCACACCTCAACATAATGGAAACCTAAAAATATGATAATTCGGCTACCATAACAAATACAGTATTTGAATGTTCAAAATAAGGACCAAACTCACATTTGTAAAAAAAAAAAAAATCCTGTCAAACCTGACATTAGTAATACTAGTCAGTCATAATTTTTCTAAGTTTTTTACAGTTCTTTTGCTTTAGGATGTAAGTATAATTTAAAAAATATAAAATTTACGAAACTAAATGCACTACAATAGTATATTGTATTCACTTGCCTGTCTCCTTAAAATATCTTGTATAGTGCCGTATTCAAAAACTGAATTCACTGATTAAAGAAGATAAATTTAGGATTTTGGTCCAACACATGATTTCTCACAGTCATATATGTGAGAAATGTGGAGCAGGTAATAAGTGGACGCCATGAGTGACTTTTTGAAAAATGAGGAGCAGATATGTAGGGGTAGTCTCATTCTCACTCAGCTGACAATGAGGGATTGAGAAAGGGCATAATATGTAGCTTGGACAACCCTAAACATCATAGTGGACAGTTCTCATTTATTATTATTATTAGATTTTATTAATTAAATTATTATTAGAATTTATTAATTCATATGGAATACTGGTAAGCCCGTATTCACATTCACTTCCATACTGTGATCGACCTACCATCCCTATCACCTTGGGAAGGATATGTCCCATTTTGGTTGTAATGTTCAAGCAAGCAGTTAGTCCTCCAAATATCTACGTAAAATGAGTATTATTCAAGAATATTGGTAATTACCAAGATGACAGACCTGTAGTTTGCAGTGGTAATAATTATTCTATATTAATAAACTATTGTACTCTCTGTATTTCCTGTTTGAATTCTATATTCTAATAATGACAAATATCTAGATAAAATAATATACATGCAAACACTAAAGCAAGACACCATTGCATTAACAATTCGTATGTATTTTTAATACAGATGTCAGTCTGACCTGAATGGAATGTCCTTATTTCAGATTTGAGTCAATCACATATATGTTTTTCTTAATGCATGGTTTTTAAAAATTAAATAGTTGCAAACTACACAAATTACATTCTGTATAATTATTCTTTGTCGTCGTCTTGTTCTTTCAGGTAATTTCATCCAATGTCCTACGTGGTTATCTTGTTCATCGTGCAGCAAGCAGCAGTAGCCCAGCTGCTGAGGGTTGGGTACCATCAAATGTTGTCCTTCCATCAGCTTACCCTGATCCACCAACAACTCCTCCTGCCTCACCTACACACACAGGCACATACTATGAGTCTCAAGTCAAGAAACATTGGATCAAGTTCCGTAAACCCTCTTTCTCTAAAAGAGACCACCATCCACTAAGAAGAGAAGAAACAGTACACGAGCTGCCGCCCTCTGCTCGATCTCGCCCTTCATTTCCCAGTAGGCAGATGACTGTTTCATTAATTAATCCATATCATTCTGAAAGTGACAATCACTGTGTACATCGTCCTGATAAACCTCCAAGTGGATGTATACCTGCCTCGCCAGAATCTCCCATCAGAATTATATCCCCTCTAAGAAATGTGACTGTTTGCCCAGGGGAACCAGCAGAAATGGTATGTGTAATTACTGGTGCTGGGTTTTGGGCAGAAACAACTACAGTGATATGGACAGGGCCTCATGGCCAGCTGACTGATCCACGTTTTGAAATGGAACAACTTCGTGATGGAACATTGAGACTCCATGTGGGAAGCTGCCGTGTGACAGATGCAGGCGAGTACACGTGTACCATCACTTGTGCTGGACATTCCATCGCCTGTTCTGCTCGCATCAATCTAGCCCAGGGTAAGGACCACAGTTATTCTAATGGACATTCCTAGCAATAGGAGTGCCTAGTATGGGCTGGAGTGGGTTAAGGTTGAAATTTGTAAACTTGATAAGTTCAAGTTTGTTTTAATAACTCTTTTTGAGTTGAAATATTCTCACATTAATTGTGTTCTATGCATGAAGAATTTTTGTATTAACTGAGTGCTGTCTTTATTCTAATAATATCTACATTGATACCATGGATGAAGCTTTACATTTTATCTAATATGTATTAATTGAAAGGTAATTTTAACTTACTTGAAAAAATATCAAACAATGGGAGTGGAGCACCATATAACTCTTAATACAATAGACAAATGTTTGGTAAATTTATATTAAAGCAATTCCAAAAATATATGTTTAAGCATTAGTTGTACAAACTACTAGGATAAGTGGAACTATATGTTGATAAAATGTGTGGAAGTTGTTTAATATCATGGTTGGTTGACTCTGGAGGGGAAGCAGTTTGGTTAAGTGTGTGTAGCCTTTCATTTGTTTTGAGTAGTATTCTGTCAAAACTGAAAGTTTTTCAATACATTTTAATATATATGAAGAATTCATTTTATTTGGAATATAATGCTGATCAGCAATAATATAAAAAATAAAAAAATAAAGTTTCACTGACTTGACATACATACATACATTTAAAGTCTCTAATTTTAACTGCACATAAAATATTCTGAATCAAATACTATGGTACAAAAATGCTACTTTCAGTTTAATTATTTGAAATATACAAACATATTATGTAGGTGTGACAGCATTATTACAACCACTTTCGTTTAACACTTCCCATTAAAATCATTCATCTTTGCCTTAATCATTACGTACAATATGCAGACTGCAATTTTATTATTGGACAGAACAGTACACCTTTATAAAAATTATTCCTAAAAAAATTAAGATCAGTTACGTTATTTAAAATTCTATTTAATTATTAATGCTTCTGAGGTGAGAGCTACAATCCCCCTCCCCTCCCCCCTTCCTTCTCTCGCACTCCTCTTTTCTATTTAGCTGACTATGTCAATGTGTCTAGTTAATGTTTTTAGTTGGTATGGACCGCCTACCTTTCAGTTAATGGTAGTGTGTACTCACCTAATTGTGCTTGCGGGGGCTGAGCTCTGGCTCTTTGCTCCCGCCTCTCAACAGTCAATCAACCGATGTACAGATTCCTGAGCCTACTGGGCTCTATCATACCTACATTTGAAACTGTGTATGGAGTCAGCCTCCACCACATCACTGCCTAATGCATTCCATCTGTTAACTACTCTGACACTGAAAAAGTTCTTTCTAATGTCCCTGTGGCTCATTTGGGTACTCAGTTTCCACCTGTGTCCCCTTGTTCACATACCACCTGTGTTACAGTTTATCTTTATCTACCCTGTCAATTCCTCTGAGAATTTTATAGGTATTGATCATGTCTCCCCTTACTCTTCTGTCTTCTAGTGTCGTGAGGTGCATTTCTCGCAGCCTTTCTTCGTAACTCATGCCTCTTAGTTCTGGGACTGGCCTCGTGGCATATCTCTGAACTTTTTTCAAGCTTCACCTTGTGCTTGACAAGGTATGGGCTCCATGCTGGGGCCGCATACTCCAGGATTGGTCTTACATATGTGGTATACAAGGTTCTGAATGATTCCTTACACAGTTTCCTGAAGGCAGTTCTGATGTTAGCCAGCCTCGCATACGCCGCAGATGTTATTGTATGTATTGTGTGTGTGTGTGTGTCTTGGAATGTGTCGGTGTGTAATTACCTAAGTGGTGCATTACAGCAGGAAGCCAGTCATCAAATCACTATTTGCATGAATATTTCTGTTTAAGAGCCACTACTAAAAATGCAGCCTTTACATTTTTTCTCGGATGCTTTCTACTCGAATAAAAAGCTTAACACACCTGATACATGTGCTTACCTAGTTATGTCTATGAGTAGTCTGCTGCAGAGTTAGAGGAATGCCTCTGAGCTATGTATCTAGTATACAGTATTTACTGTATACTAAGATACAATAGCTTGTCACTCACGGAAGTCACTCATGGTCCCAACCTTCCAGCAATTTGTTTAAGCTATAAATGGTGCTTGCTTCCATAATCTCTGGTTCAAGCTCATTCCATTCATTTATCACTCTCACTGCATATGAGTATATTCTTATATTTCTTGGCTCATCTGTGTTTCCAGCTTTCACCTTTGGCCTTTTGCTCTCTTGTCCCTCGCCTGGATAAAGTCGATTTATCAACTTTGTACCTAATTCATATCAGACTTCTGAGCCTTCTCGATTTTTTCTTGTTCTTTACAAGATATTGGTTCTATACTGGAGCTGTGTGCTCTAAGACTGGCTTAACATATGCCATGTATATTATTCTGTAGAATTCCTGTGTTAGGCTCTTGAAAGCCATCCATATGTTTACTAGTTTAGCATAAGCTACTTATGTTATTCAGTTAATGTGTTCCTTTGGTTAAGGCTTATAATACATCCCCTCTTGTGTGTTTTTCTCATTTGGTTTGTGCAGTTGACTCCCTCATAAACTGTAATGGCCTCCACAGTTTTCTCCCAAACCTTCAATATACTTCGTTTACTCATTCTTCAGTATACTTTGTTTACTCATTCTTCAGTATACTTGTTTACTTTAACAATTTTGGTGATTTAACTTGATTACCTTGTCATAGAACTTGATAAAGCTTGCTGTGTCTTGTATAAAGTTCTCTACTGGTTAATGTTTAGCTTGTAATTGAGCTTTAAAAAGAAGGAGTACTGTATTTCCAAATTGTGTTTAGGGGGTTGTGAGTTCCAACTCCTACACCCACATTTAAGCCAGCAATTGACTGGAGTAATGTGCTCGATAGACTTCTGTCATTCCTATGCTTAAATCAGGTTTGAATGTACTTTCCTACACTTCTCCTCAGCCATTCCATTCATTCATTACGCAACTTTCCAAACGCCATGAGTGGCAGTCAAGCGAGATGTTAATAATGACGAGTGGTGAATGAATGTGCATCTGTATATAAATGAATGTGCATCTGTATATAAATGAATGTGCATCTGTATATAAATGAATGCATATAAACTGAGTGTTGTGTGTGTGCATCAATTTTGTTGTTCCAAGCTTGTGAGTATTCCTTGTATCTATATCTATTCCTCTATTGATAAACCAAATAGAAAGGTATCTAAACAATAATGCAATTCTGTGTTGCAATTTTAGCTGTTTTATTTCAACAAGGGCTAAATCATTAATGAAAGTATAATATTCTTTTTAATATTGTTCAGTATTCCTGTTTAATATTGTTCAGTATTTCTTTTTAATTCTGTGCTGTACAACCTATTGATATCAACAACTTCCTAATCTGTCATTAGACTGAATGAACATATTATACTAAACTTTCTAAATACTCTACTCGAGGTACCCGCTGGTGGGGGTCTTGGTAAAAATAATAATGATCTCATTAATTAATTTTTTAATGTAGGTTTTGAGGTTTACAGTGGTTTAAATTTGCTCTGGCTGTAAAACGTTACTTGACCGACTCATGACAGAACAGAAGAAAATGTAATCAATTTCCTCGCCAGCCTTGTAACTGCTATTGATATGCAATTTGCATAATTTTGTTTAAATTAAGTATTGGCGGTACTTCTGTATTTTTAATTTCTTTCATTTTACAGTAGTGTGATTCAGAAGAAATAAGTTGCTTATGAAATGCTAACAATGTCTTGCTGTACATAACTGGTATTAGATTTATTAACACCTCTGCTTTTTCACAATAACATTTTCTCGATTATGCATCCCATATTTCATTATTAAAAACAAAAATTATGGCTCAGTTTTGGGTATTTGGAATTCCTGATCACTTGGTTGTTATTCATTGTCAAACTTCTGACTCCATTTCTATCTTAAAACTAAGGTATACAGTATAGTATTAATAAAATATCTCACTGGTATAATTTTAATGCACAAATTCACATGAAAATTATAGTCTGCATTTTTGTATAAAAGATAAATACAGCCTTAATTAAAATCATGTATCTGAACAGTTGTTGTGATACACAAAAAAATTCTTATCAAGCTTGTAAAGAACAATTTATTATTGTCTATGTACAGCACAATCCTGTTCATTTGTATAATATGTACAGTAAATATCCTGTATTTTAATGCAAGATATCTTACTAGAAATGTTTGCCAGTTGTCATTCCTTCTGTGTAGAGTAGCAGTGTTTAGATGTCTCTCTCGTCAAGTGATCACTATGTAAATTATGGATTTTATTCAGAAATACATAATTTTTGATACTCAACTTAGGCATTCCTTCATAATTTTCACAGCTCTGCTGTGATGGTTTATTACAGCAAGAATCATTGCTGAAACTGAAAACTGCGGGGAATATTACAAGAGATCTAACTTATTTAACAGTATAGAAGTCAGATGTTAATTTGGAAGAAAATGACTCTCTTTTAGTGCCAAAGGTTATTAGATATTTTTTGTGTAAATGCTAGTGTAAATATGTACAGTATTGTATATGAGGAGGACAATCAGTCAGTGTCCGCACTTGGTCTAAGGTGATGAGCTGTGAGAAAAGATTTTTTATTGTACTGTTCAGTCTCGAATAAATTATTTTCTGGACAATGATCTATTCTTTAAACAGCATTTTGCATTAAGATTATAAATAAGCAAAAGTGGACAATGTGAAAATGTTTTGAAATTAAAGTAGGCCCCATTATATTCCTCTATCATAGCAAACACTGTTTTGTATAGTTCAAGTAATATAGATTATTTTTTAAATGAAAACTATGATATGTTAATAACTATACAAAAAACACTGGCAAATATAGGTTTTGTTGATTATGTAATATTAACACAGCACATGGAAACTAAGTTATTATCATTTTACATTAAAATACAGTATATATATGAGCAAGAAAACTGCATTATTTTGGCTTTCCAATTTAAACATTCTTTGGGGTTTTCTTGTGTACCAATGCAAACAGTTGGCAAGCGTGATA